GGGGGGGGGGGGGGGGCATGTTAGTTCATACTTGCGACTAATTTACAAAAATTCGAGCAATTTATTTTGATACAACTCCGGCAAATTTGAACAGAGATCTATTTCTCCTATAAAAATGACAATTTATCCAGAAATACGATGCGGGGTACTACTACTATATTTGCAACCTATTATCCATGTAGACAAGCGAAACTTTTCATTGTATGTACGAATATATACTACGTGCGGTGGTGGCGTCTCGCCTGTCGTCTCTGATTCTAACGTTAAGAAATTATCGTGTTATCATCTAGAGATCACTCTTTCTCGAGCTTGGATTGCCGTGATTGGTCACGTATAAATTCACGTATGATCTTTTATGAGCTCGTCCGAGTCGAGGCGCTGTCAACGCCAAAAGCGCGCGATAAACGTTCGGCGCCAAGTTGCAAAAATAGTCAAGCTAATTAATCCCGGGAAGCTGTACATCGACAATCGTTCATTAAATCTTCGTGATTGATACTCATGATTGATGTAACAATGGCCTGATGCGAAATCAGGTACGTAGAAATTCGAAGTTTATGTATAATATATATCGATGGCGTGATCGGTGCAACGGTAACGCTATGTGCAAGAATGTTAACGTGCTAATTGTAGCTATATTCACGCGAATCAAAATGCTGCACAGTGCGATCGGACTCGCGAAAATCGTGGCGCGTACGCGATTAAAAAGTGATACCAGCGTTAATCTGTTTTGAATTCGTCTTCTGAGATCAAGGCATGAATTTATACTTGTCGTGGTTTGCAGATGCATGAATGAGACAATGGAATCACCCATAACGACCGTTCAATCGACCGACGCCGACCGTTGACGAATCTCAGCGCATCGGTTGTACTGCACTCCGAAAACATTTTTGAGGTTAGTAGCATCTAAAGACGATTTTACATATGAAAAACAGTGAATGATCATTGTTGATGTATTTCGAAATATTTCCAAACTTTCGTTGCAATTATCGTCTCTTATCGACGAACGAGAGAAGTATGCAGCAATGGCGCGACGCTTGCGATTCTCGAAGTACGCGACGTTTTCAACGCTAATGTCAGTTCGTACTTGCGACCATTTTACAAAAGTTGGTGCGATTTATTTTAATTTAACTTCGATCAAACTTCAACAGGGATCTACTCCTAGGAATGAAACTGCTTTTTCGACTCTCGAATGATGAAAAGGTACCTCGTTATTATAATTATTGCGTTTAAACTGAAACTCATTACTGTTGCATGCAAAGTGTAACGTGATGAGCCAAATTATAAACTTTCATGCGAGTGATAATTGCAATAAGCGATATACATTATGATAAGCGATAAGACGTGAATATCCACTTACTCGACAGTACATTTCCGCACCGACGATGTGGTCCACATTTGATTTTCCGACTGCACATTAGCACTTCTGAAAAAAAAGAACAATATCTTTTACTTCTTTCGTACGCTAACATTTTCGGACAATTATAGGCGGTTTTTCTTTCAATATGTTCATAAAATTTTTTTTCTGCAGCAGACGGATTATTTACTATCACTGCCCTCTCTCTTTCTCTCTCTCTCTTCCTTTCTAACACATTATAATTATATAATTATATTATGTTAATCGACAAATGCACTTCAAACGAAATTTTCTGCAAGAATTCGCTAAGTAATTGCATTTGGAATTCTTTTCGGAATTATCTCTGAACCGTACAAAATGTAATCGATAGATCTTAGAGAGTACAACGAATGAGAAAGGTCTCTGATGTCAGTAGGACGATTCGCGCCGGATGGAAGGTAGAACAAAGAACTGAGAACATCGTCAGGATACAATAACCACACGGTGATCGTTGCGAGACCGCGAAATTGATCGTATTCGCGAAATTATACTTTCTCTGACAATTCGTTCGCCACGGATCACGGAGCAACGCGACTATTACTTCGCGACGAAATTATTTCAGATCTCATTAACGCATTTCTTTCCCCTCTTTCCCGCCATATTTCGCCGATTTTATCGCTTTTCTAGAATCGTGACTGTTGCTAAGATATGTATATTTTTTTTTCACATAGACACGTCACGGCACATAAACAAGATACGCTATAAACACATCGAATATTTCTTCCTTATCTCTTCTTTTTTCGGTTTCTCCCGTGAAATCTAGAGATTATTATCATATATATGTATATATTTATAGAATATTATATAGTCAATTTTGAATAAGAGTGTCTTAGATGAATTCGAGATTCACGAATTAGTTAAGTTACTTACGTCCTCAAATGTGTTAATCGAAACTGAGATTTCTTCAGATCGCACATATTTATTCGGAGATGAGCGCTACGCGTTGCAACGAGTGTTGCGACTTTACAACTGATCGTAAGCGTTTCGTTTGTCAATCTTGAGGTCCTTGATCAATCTTGAAAATTAGATGAAAAACCACGAACTTAACTCCTGTCGCAAAAACAGTATTCACGCCTGTGTCTCGTCGTAACGCCGGGATGAAGAAAACTACCTCGTGCTTCGAAACAATATTACATTCTTATTCTCAGACGGGAGACTGGAAATACACGACGGTCTCGAAATACTTATTAATGCCGTCGATGTGTGTGTTCAAGTGCCTCGAGTGGCGCACCTGAGAAACCCAAGATTTTTGCAACACTACAACGTTCGCTATCTGCAGTCGCTCTCTATCCGCGTATACCATTTTTACCACGTACGTCCGTTCCACATCGCAAATTGGTTCTCGTTCGGGAATTCTGTCGATGATTTTTTCCTCGCGAGAGGGGGAGGAAAATTGGATCATTTTTCGCGCATGGTACTCCAAATATCGGAACATGGAAAACGCGTTAAAGCGGCGAGAGGAAACGTACGAAGCGCGTAACCGGTGTTTCGACTCGACGGGCTCGCGAGTGCCCTTAATGAGAATTAAGAGACGTTAATTAGAGAAGGAAATGTCGGTCACATGCACACACGCGGCGAAACGCTGGGCGCTTGATTTTTCGATTCATTTGCATGCCGAGTCTGATCGCGCAGCTTTTCCTCGGGCATCCATTCCCATACACGGAACTACAAGCAAGAAAGCATCGCGGTGCATATTAGTATGCATAATAAACATCTCAGTTATGTGCCGGCTAGGCGAGTATTGACCTGACCTATCTTTGTGTAGACTCATTTGTCACTGCCGACAATGACTATCGGGCAAAGATTAAAACCTAGAGTGAAAACTTCGAGGTTGAAATTGTAATGTGTCACATTTTACATGCATCGGTGAAATATTTCGTTTGACGGGACAAATGAATTAGTGTTAAAATGGGTTCTCTTGAAAAGACGTTGAAAACACTACTGGGCAATACGTCCTTAAGAAGGATAAAAATTCCGCAATCCCGCCGTTCGCGGAGAACATCACAAAGAACTTTGACTCTCTTCGTTACCTTCGCTCGTGGGACAATGGTCGTTCATTCGTCACCGGCGCAGGTCGCAGCTTTAAATACCCATGCAATTTCATAGCGGCGACTAAGCACGGTACCTGCACAATCTCGCGACCCGACGAGAGGATAATGGCAGTCATTATACCGCGGATACACAGCGAGTTGTCGGTGTCTAGTTAACGGTACGCCGCGATGCCCAAACCGCGGGGGGGCCCGCTATTCTTTCGGCCGTAATTAGCCCGTGTCTTCGATACGCTTGAACTTTTCGGTACATTTTCTCGGGATGGAAAGTAAGTCGAGATCGCGGTGAAACTCGGAAGCGATTCGCGAGGTATCTCTCTTTCCCTCTCCCCCTCATGCGTGCTCTTCCGCTTAGATTATTCAGATCGGGCCCGATACACGTTTCTCCCTCTTTAAGCAGGTGCGAGCTTGTACGCGCGCGTTTACGCGTACACCGATCGGAGTAAGTTGCCGATACCGTTTAATTATAGTTATGCAATTCCGCAATTGAGGCGTCTATCGGAATGCATTTCACCCTAGATTTCACCCGTTTGATATCGGCCGTGGATATCGAAAGCCGGTCGAGATAACGATTGGCCGCGACTCATTTTGCTGCATTCCTCCAGGAGGTATTCGCGGAACTCACCTCGGCACGGAATAGACGCGCGTTGAACGATTTCACATTACCCGAGCGATTTTCCGAATGCCAAAAATTCACTCTAACATAAGAGAGATATCTCAACGAACCGTTATGCTCGTCGACTCGTTACATTTAGCGAACTGACTTACAATTTCTGACATTATTATCAGTTTGTTTGATATGCGAGCGTCGACGACCTTCACCTTATGCCGAGAGTTATTGTGTTGTGTCACGCTCTAAGTCCCGATACAAATTCGCTCGTTCTTTTAAACTTTTAACCGTATCCGGATCCTTTTCGATCCAAGAGTTTTGAAATTTCATGATTGACGCCACTTTTCTCGGAGAACTTATTATTCATATCATAATAAATACATTATTCATTAAACTATGTCAAAACGTTAAAGAAAAATCACAAGGTCTTTATGTTGACATTATTTTGGTATCACGAAAATTTTCTATGGACACTTAGATCGAAAAGACCAGAAAACGGTTAGAAGGTTAAATCAGAATTGTATCGATTAACGATCTTGCGAATTGGCACAGTAAATTATACTCGCATCTCACGGTATATCGTTCATATGCATCAAAATGCATATGATCTTTTAAGAAAATAGGCGTACTTGTATCCTGTGTGGATGAGTTAAAATTATCATAAAATATATCACATAACACGTTTGTCCTGTACACCACTAAATTCCGTACATAAACACTGTTATCAAGCAAAGATACGATTTTGACAAATTAATTTATCGATAAGAAACTAGAAATGCAAATGCTCAGAATAAATTATAAACAACAGTTTTGATCGAGAGAGCAGCTTGCAATTCTACAAAAATAAATTGAAATACAATCTACAAACTGGAAAATCAGATCATATGATATAAAAATATTTATTATTAAAATATCACATATTTGGGGATAAAAATGAAGAAAAATAAATAACGATATTACGAATAAATAATGTTGCAAATTTATGGAGGAAAGTACGAGTGACGATTAAAAGTGCCAACTGTGTCTCAGCAATTTTTTCTTGCATTCTCGCTTTGCATTTCTAGTGTAAAATAATAAACAAAAACTTACGAGATACGCTTGATCATCTTTCTGAATCCCATGTTGGATATGATTGTTGGCATTACGACGCAAACTTCCGACAAGTTGACGACGTCGACGAACACTGCGCGAACGCGGCGCGATCCGCTGTCTCTTCACGACTGCGTTGCGAAACGTTTGGTAGTTGACTCCGACGCGCGCGGACGATTCCTCGGTTCTGACAGTTCCGATCGCAAGCGTCGATCTAGAACCGCTCATTCACCGATAGTTCCCGTTCCTCTCCCCTTCGATCAGCTGACTGACCCCACTGTGCGCAAAACGGCAACCGGTGTTCGCGCGGCAATTAAAGGAAGTATAGATTACCGAAGTATTATATTTCCAAAATCATCTGTGTATACCTGTTGACAATTAGAGCAGAAAGTATTAAATCGAATTTGTAAATAAAAAGTAAACATTTTGTGAAGTTCCTTGTTATTAACCATTTTTTTTTTTTTTATGAGAAAAAGTCCAAACTCGAAGATATAAGAATGTCTTGAAAAAATTGTTTAATATTATAATTTATAATACTTCTTTTTTACGAAAAATTTTAGATTTCCAGAAAATAATATTCAATTATGTTATATTAAATTAGTACCAGCCGAGAATAAAATTTATTCAAATTTATTAAACTTTATGTATTATTCACGATTGATGTGCGTCAGAAATTTTCGTGTAATTATATCATTCTTGCGGCAATTTGCGCTCATCTGAAAACTGAATTCCTAGACGGCAATTACACAACTCGTCGTTTCTGAAACTAGCGGTCTTTGTGCGGAATCTTGCTGCGTAACGAAGTATTCTGATATCGCGTCTAAGGACTGCGCCGTCGTGGCACGCCTTTTTTCGTCGGCCTCCTTCATGAGAGCACCGGTACCGGCACAATCGGTGCGATGACTGATAACGCACAATTACGACGTGCAGCCGGCAGTACAAACGTAGGTTTAGGTCGCCGTGCGTGGGACGGGCTGTATTTCGTGACTTCAAAGTAAGAACACGACGCGATGTCAACCAGTTTTATCTTGACGATATAATTACATCTATATACGAATACCTTGAGTTTGTTCATACGATCTCGTAGTTCGTGGACCCTGTGAATTTGACGAAAAAAAAACACTTATCAGAATGCAAATAACAGAATTGTCGTTAGTGACATCTTTCGTGAAATATTCCGCCGGTTTTCAAAGCTAATTACATTAATTTTTTACAGTAAGTTCTTTTCTTAGTTTATTTTAGTTTTACTTTCGTATTATAATTTATGATAGCTTATATAACTCTAAGATAATTTAACTTTGGCAACAATATTTACGTAGAGTATTACAGGAATTTTTACCTCAATAATAAATATTAGAAACCAATCTACAAATAATTATTGTTCTAATATTTGAGAGAAAAATAACATAGCAAAAATTCACTTTTTCATTCCACTTATAAGTTTTTTCAAAATGGTAATATCTTTTTTATACAATAAGCCTCAAAAGATCTCAAAACAGACAAGATAATGATCTTTGTGTAACCTTAAATCTAATATTTAAAAAATAATAAAAATATGCGAATTTCGAATTATTCTGTACGGTAAATAGTTTGTTGTGCGAGACGAATAATCAAAGGAAAAATATTTAATCAAAACAAGCTCTGTACAAGTAACTCATGAATAACCATGTGAGAATAATAAATTATTTAACGTTCAAACCTTGTAGCATTGAAAAAATAACAGAAGATAATTTCTATCTAAGATATATCTTCTAGTTTGTATTAGAATGCAAATGTGCTTTCGCTTTGCAATCACTGGCTTATTAACAGCTTCACGTACAATGTGATTGTTTGCATGAATTGCATTGTATGCTTTATCTTTATATATTTGATTATATATATTAGATGAAAAGTACTCGCACATGCCTTAACACGTTAGAATAAATAAATACAAGTTCAAAAACAGAAAACTATAATATGGTTGAGCGATCATCGATGTTATCACAATTGTTGGAGTTGTAGGATCTATGTAAGTACTTATTAAGTACGTCGAATATCTTCTACATTTTTGTGTTTTGTCACGTGGTAATTGTTCCTTCAAGGTGCCTTCATCTCTTGTTTCACGCAGAATTTAAATGCTTCCCAACCTTCATTGCGTTGTTGAGACTAAAAAGAATAAAATTTTTTAATTGGACAATAGTTACTATAACATTTTTAGCGTAATTGCAAATTTAGCGTAATTTGCAAATTAATCGAGAATAATGTGGCATCTAGTGTAGTAAGCCTGAAAGACGGCAACTATTCGTACAGTTCCATTTTCAGTCGTACAGCGAGTGGTTCGTAGGCGCTGTTACATTTCGCATAAATTTTTTTTCCAAAAGACTTCCATATGAATCTATAGTGTGCCGTACCTTGAAGCCTCTATGCAATCTATCCTTCATGATTGCAATGAATTCCTTGTAAGAGAGTTGGCCATCCCCATCTTCATCGAACAGTGCAAAAACCGTATCAATTATATGTGTCGAGAGCACCATTCCCGTACATATTTTCACAGCTCGTTGAAACTCATCTGGAAATAGAAAATATTTAATGAACAAGATCTATTATATAAGAAAATGTATTAAAAAAAATTTTATTTCAATGATAAAGGATAAAGGAAATTTATTCACGTGAGTAATTTAATGTTACGTTAAATATTCTCCAGCTTAAAAAGATTGCAAATTATATACACTCGTATATTTTATATGCTGTCAAGAATTTAAATTTACGGAGAATATGCCTGAAAATTATGTGGAGTATATTTAAATTAGATTTGATTAAAGATTTGAAATTAATTTTTACCTTTGGATATGGGATGGTCGGCCAATGTATACATTCGCATCGCTATAGAGAAATCATCCAAATTATTCAGAAATTGATAGAAGCGACGGAATTCCTCGAATGTGATACCAATATTCAATTCCGCTCGGTCCATCATCCTGTCTAAGTATTTATCATACCTGTGTACACGTACATAATTTCATTAGTTATTAATTATTCGATATAATTTCTAATTAGGCGTACGTTATGAATAGTATTCAGCTACTCGACTTACTCGTCAGGTTCGAGGTACGTGTATCTCAGTAAAATTTTAGCGAAATCCAATTCGTTGATCGTGTCGTGTCCTTTACTGAATTCGTGAAATTCTAACTCCAATACTTCGTGCTGTAAGTTCTCCATGAAGCGTTTGAAATCTTCATATTTCAATTCGTTAGTACCGTCTTTACCGAAGAAATGTATCATCAAGCTTGTGTCCACAGCATGACGTCGTTGCAAGCCCTGCATCATATATATGATAAAATGTTAATTAAACGTAACGTTTAACGTTTTACTTTTTCGTTGGAAGATCGCTCCATATTTCACCCTTATATTTATTCGTCATATTTGTATTGAACGAAATCTTCATTCGAGAAACTTCTAATCCTGGTCATGTTTGTCGCATCTCAATTTATACAATTTTGTCACTATTTTACGTTTATCCTACAACTTGCTGGTATCACTTGTTTCTTCAGATAAAACAATATCATTAAAGTAGTGTCGTACCTGATCATCGTCGATGAATTGGCCCTGAATTTCTTCTGGTGTTCTCTGACGCTCCTGCAGTTGTTCCAATTCTTCTTTAGTCTCACATCCATGACGGCCTCTCCATGCGTGACTAAACACTTTCTCCATCTGTATTAAAGATGAACACGTGAGAGAACGACTGTTATCACGACAGATCGACGGTGTTGCTCCAATAAATCTTTTACGAACGGACACATGTGTTGAAGTTACACGCTATATAAAGGTAAGGTGACGGCAATGATTCAGCGCCCAGCGTTAATGTATCTGAAATAAGTGGCAAATAGTGTTAGTGCAGCGATTATCAGTAAGTTAGGGCGTAGACAGTTTTCGGCCGAGCCGGCAAGTTGCATGTTAATTGCGTGCGAGCGTCGATATAGGCTAGTTTGAGACAGACGGTGATCAAAGACTGTCGACACTTAATTCTTATTGATACACATAGTGTGCATATCCACATAGAAAATATATTGCTGGCAGTGTGGATTATAACATTAATGCAATTGTTCGTCGAGTAGATTAGTAAGCAGTTGTGATGCTGCATAAATATTCCCGCCGTTAGTCCTATAGTACCACGTCAGCTTCCGTTTTTAATCCTGTTTTTACGAGTGTTAATAATTTTCCGTATCTTACAAGAGGCCTGTTGCATATTAGACAAAAGATATATTTATTTACGACAATCCGTATGTGTGTAGACTTACGTAAGAATTAGAGATGATTTCGTCTGTTTTAATTGGACGACCTTCGTGAAGTTTCGGCTTGTCTAGAACGTCTTCGCTCGGAGCAATTATGGAACGTAACTAATTTTTCGAAAAAAAAAAAAAAAAGAATAGAAAAGAATTAGTGTCACGTGGAAATCAATGTTTACCATAACCATAATAAAATTGTAAAATTAGACAAATAAAAATGTTAGACACGCCATTATAATAAGAAATATCTTCGCTCTTGAAAATAATTCAGAGTAGCTCATATGTGGTTGAATACAATAACAGAGATTATACAGTCGTTAGTCGATCTCATTTAGCCGAAAACGACTTAACGACCGACTGTCGATTTTTTAGACATTTGATCAGCCGATTAATTTTCGACATCACCCTGACAGATGATAGATTTTCTGAAAACTCACTGCACGTTTCGTCGGTTCGTCGAGATCCCGTTCCTTCAGGCTGCCGCCGAGTAATCGACGAATCTGCGAGAACGATAAAGACTATTTCATGCTACGGCTAGTTAGTGTAAAGGTTTTTCAGAGAGTGTAGTCAGAATTCATCCTCGCTAGTAGATCCACGAGTGCTCCAACTGGTTCATGTTAGAAGCTAGAACTTATTGAGGGACGTTCCATTACAGTAACATCTCGTCTTGCGTTTTGTGTTATCGGAAAGTATTAATTAGATGATTAATTGTCCGTCTAAGAGCAAGAATTCTCTAATATCGCCCTCTCTCCTAATGCAAAAAATAGAAGAAAGGTAACTAACCAATTTTTACTACTATAGTTTTACATTAACGACTATAATTCTACATGCACTTGCAATCACTGCAGACGCGAAAACACGCGCGTGCGCGCACACATCTCGCGAAGACCTTACCACAAGAAACTCGGTTTTGTCGACTCGCTCGTTCCCGTCGGTGTCGAACATATTGAAGGCGATTTGGAAACCAGTTTTCGGCTCTGCAACAGAATCGATTATTGCCGTGAATTTATAGCGGCATTACATTTAGATGTTCAACATTAATGAAGCATTTTTGCCACGGGTAATCCATACGTTCAAACTTTAACTCTGCTTTCGTATACGAAATATGAGCACGTGCGTACAGGATGTTTCAGATATTGCATCGAGTTTTCTCTATAGATTCTTAGATTAAAATATGAAGTAGTTGTTTCTCAACAATGATGTAAAAGATATCAATACGGAATAGATTAAAAATCTTATACCTGATTGAAATTTTGCGATACGTACAGTTAACAGAATCACACTGAAAAACCCATTTAGTTGACTCCAATGAAATTTAACTTTAATTTTGGATATGGGTAAAATAGGTTTTTTAGTGCATCTTCTTCGTTTACAAATGAACTTCATTTTAATATAACTTTGACATGAAAAGGGATTAATCGTAAAGATATGTAATTAAATATTATGAAGTAAGAAAAAATATACCAGATATGGATATTGCATTGGACTTTTCGTGGCGAAAGAAAACGTGAGAGAACGCCCGAGAACACCCTGTAGACTTGACGTGAATCCTGAATAATGTTGTACGCGGACGCATTTACGTAAAAATGCGATACATTTAATGCGTACGTTCCGTGCGCCATTAAAATTGTCACATAATAATTTGCACCGGGCACATCAAATAAATTGGACGCTCTGTGCGTATTACAGCTTCCCGAGCAAGCGGATAACAGCCATTGCTTTTACGTGAACAAGACGAACATAGCATCTTATTGCCTGATTTTTCACCGATAACGTATAGTTTGTACCGTAACAGAGCGATCGTTGCGCTTCATTTAGGCGTTTTTTGCATTTATGTCGCAATTTGCCCGATAAATATATTCAAAGATACCGGCGAGAAACTTACTTGTTAGGGTAGACAGTAAAAACAAGTACTCCGTGTAGGAAATTATTCCTGGAATAGAAAAAAACATGGCTTAATAGATTCTAGAAAAATAATATATTTCTATTAGAAAAAAAATTAATCGCATAGAAATAATTTCCAGATTAACAAATTATGAATGGCAAGTCGAAATCTATATATCAGCTTTATTTTTATTTTATTTTTTTTAATTCGCCAATTGAGTTTAAGTGGACATGCATTATCATGTCCAGTTTTATATTTTACGCGACTGCCAAAACTGCAAAATATGGTATTATGCAAATCTCTCCTCCTTCAAGTAGCATATATTTTACATCGGGTCAAAATTAAATTCAAGTTTCATGTTTGCTCCCACATTTGATTTGACGACAAAATACTTTTCTTAATAAGACAATAAGACGGTGATAAGATATAGAAATTCGATTTAGATACGGATATAGAAATTCGAGCAGATCGTTATACATCACGCGATACTTTGTTTTTATGTCTCGTAAATTTTCGTGATTCGGAGTGAATTCACTCTTAATTTCCCCGTTAATCCGCATTTAAGCATAACGCGATCTATACAGGCATGCATTAAACGGATGTTTACGATGTCTCGGAATAGCTTCGGACACACGTTAGACACGCCTCACGTGGTTTCAGGTATTTTTTGAGAATGCCATCGCCTTCGGGAAGGATCAATAACTTAGAATTTAATGGCAAAAGCAAGACCCGCGGACGCACCTAAATCCTGATCTTAAACATATTCCCTTGCGGCGGCAGTTTTAACTCGTACGCAACAAAAGGACTACTTTACAAATCGTAGTCATCCTATAAAATTCCCTCACATCTCCGAGAGCGAAGAGAAAGCCAAGGGCTAAAGGAGAGTAATGAAAGCAGCCGACAAAGTCGATCTAGTCACGATATATTTTATACGCGCGTGCGTGGTACTTCCATCAATCTCATCACCGTTTAACTTTGTTATCATAAATTCATTGCTGACTCCTGAATGTATAACGAAGCAAAAAATATTATTACAAGCGCTTAAATATGTAATTTAATGCGACTTGTAGTACAGTATTGTGCACGAGTTTTTTCATTAAAATATACAATTTAATTGACATAATCAAATTATCGAATTATTCGTTGTGCAGCTTGCGAGTAGAGGTTTTAAAAATTATCTAATGGTAATGTGAGCTCTAACGCGCAGTGCGTGTCGACAGAAATAATATCTCGCGTAATCCACGCGGAGAGATCGGTTGTCCGTTTAACTCGAAACGTTTAGGAAGCTGTGATTTACGGCATTGGTGCGTAAAAGTAAGGCTCGATATCTCGCCGACGTCTATCCCGAGCGGACTTGCGTGGAGAGGGAGAAGCAAGTAACTATCGCAGAAAGTAGCACGTGTTGTCGGCACAATAAGGAAGTATTGCGTCTAAACGTTACGACCGCGACCACCCGAATGACTAACGGGCGTTCCGATGTATCGTTAACACGACGACGAGACGCCGTTTTAGCTCGCCGCCGATATCTCTCGCAATCTCCCATAGTCGTTAATTGTAACGGCCCTCCGTGTGCCGAAAGTATCCTTAAAAGCGGCTCCCGGACTCGTTTATCCGCTATCGTGGAGTGAGCGTACGTCCGACTCGCACGTACGCGAAAAGGAAGGAGAAAGCTTCCGCGACAGAGACGAGAAACTCGTTATTATTAAAAGGAGGTGTGAAACTGGCCGGTCCCTTCTCGCTCCCCTCTCATCGCGGCGCTCCCCCTTCCCGTGTGCGCTGATTATTTGCATTTCCATTAGCGCGACAAACGTGCGGTGCACGCGTAAAAAGCCAGGAAGGAACGCGCCGAAGTGCAGCCACCATTAAACTAATGATACGATCCTGTCGCGGCGAGCGTTGCGCGTGGGTGGCGGGAACTTGTGTCGAATAAGTATGCGCCGTAAGTACAGGTTGCGCGGCTCGATCGCAGATCGATAGTCGCGCTGTCGTCGTCGGCGCGCGTCTCGCCGGATTTTTCCCGTCGAATCGCATATTTCGGTAGAAAGCATCGAGGTGCGAACGGCGTCGCTTAACTGGCCGCTCAGATTTATCGCACCTGACAGTTGTGAATTTTGTCGTGGCCAACGTCGCGGTGGTCTTATCCCGCGAGTAACGTCGCTCCGCGAGAGTTGAGCGCGTACACAAAGAGTTGTGTCCCTCTAACGCGGCGGTGACGCGAGATACCGTCCGCTTCGTTTATCTTTATTTCCGAGCACCGAGACTTCGGCGCTCAGAATGCACGAATGTGTATTTGAAACCACGATTGCTGGTTAGATGTTTAATTTAACCTTCCGTTAGTCGCGATATTTTTCACTTGCGAATGCTCCCAATGTATTTCACAGTTACATGAATTTTTCCGTTATTTCTCGCTTCTTGCAACAATTGTTCTTTCACTGGCACTTGGTTGATAAGGACAAAAGAACAAAGAAAAAAATATGGACAAGGACGAGTTCGACTTTGAGGCCGTGCAGCAACGGCGATATGTTGTAACATATACTTTGAACATGTATCTATTAAATATTGCGATTAACGGAGGGTTATATAAAATCTATTTCGCGATGGAAACATTGGTAGATTGACGAAGCTCTTTTATGATACACGAGAAATGAGATGAAAGAAAAATTGTTCATTTTTTATGTGAATATACGTGAGTTTGCTTGCCTTTATCTCGTAAATTTCGGAACATGTGCGTGCTCCCATGGCGTAGCGAAGGATTAGAATTCCGCATCACTTCAAGCTCCAGATCGGACAGCACGCGCCTCTTGAGTCTCGCTGAAAATATTAAAAATGTTTGCATTCTGTCACGAGATTTCTTCATTGAAATGTAGTGATCGTGATGCATTTCTATTGTCAATTTATTTTGACCGAAATATGCATTAGAGGAGCAACAGAAACATATTCAGTAAAAAGTTTTGTGTTAAAAACGGTCTACTGAAATTTTTATATTACTTCGACAAGGAGAATATGTTAAAAAGTACAGAAATACATATTAAATTAACAATTTTTGCTGTGTGTTTGAAGAAATATAAAGGAAATGTCCACTTTATATAATTCCGATAAAATAAAGCAAATGCCGGCGCTAATGTTAAGAATTTTTAATCAAACAATATAAATTTGAAATTTGTTACGATGAAACAAATTAATTTCGTTTGACTATTTAAAGAACTTTCGTTGAGAAAAATGAAATGCGTGCCAATTAAATACGTTACGTACGCCGTGGTTCGGAATCAATAACGCTGTCGAGAAAGTCCTGCGGGGTCATGTAGAGCTGGCCATCGTAAGCCACTGATGCAAACTTTATGAACCTCCTCTCCCTTGTCGTCAGCTTCACCGCTTTATGCAAATCATCCTCCCTCTGTAAAAACGAACGGTGCTTTTAATAGAAAGTCTCAACATTATCGATGATAATACAGATAATAAAATATTTGAAATACGCAAGTGCGGAAACCGTCTCTGCGGAATCACGGCGAGGTACTTGTGTGTAAATTATTACACTTTCGCACATCTTATGGTCCGAGAGTCTCGTTACATAACTTCCCCGATAAGGCATCGAAAAAGGAACACTGATGCTTTATGCCCTCTATCAATCAACACGTCAACGAGCGTGATAGCGCGCACGCGAATTTCTCGTGGACGCACGCGTACGGTGCACGCGCCGCGTATTAGAGGATGAAAAACTCGAACCTATAAATCTACGCTGACATTATTCGCGGTTTATACTCGTATCACGCCGCGATCTCTCTTTATTTCGACGAGCGGACCGACATTACAGTTACTTGTTACAGCAGTGGTAGTCATGCAACTTCCCTCGCATTAAGTTTCACGAGGTTCTTCGGTCTAACGCGTCTGTTGAATGAGCTGTTCTATAGAAATTTATCATATATGATCTAAATTAGGATTAATAGAGAGAGAGAGAGAGAGATCGGTCTCCACAGGGTGTCCTAGACCAATAGAGACAAACTTCGTGAAGGCGTGGAACGGATTGAGGTGAATAAAAAAGTCTTATACGCCCTCACAAAATTCGTTCCTGTTATTCTGGAACACTCTGTATATTTCGCCTACTGTTCAATATTTGTGTTCTTTTTTTTCTTTTGATAGTTCGAAGTAGCGCGTGTAATTATTGTATCATTGTCTGAAGAAGTTTACTGATCGATGTATCGTTTTTCTTCACGGTTCGTCTTTGCGAACTCTCGTGATACTTTCAATCCGATCGAATTTACCGTAGAGTTATAATTTCAAGTGCTAAAGAGATTATCTAATCACGAATGTCGCGACGGGATAAGCGGTGCGTGCCGCGTCCCGACTTTGCGTAGGCTGTTCCCCAGCTCTGAAGCACGTTGCAGCACATTACGAGAACGATCGAGCCAATGGTAATCGATCGATAGCGATTTACATTCAACCAGTGCAACAGTGATCCAGCAGTACGCGCTTTCCGCTTAATTTAATTCCAACGAGATCTACCGCACGCTTATCACTCCCCGAACGCCCTTAAGTCTCCGTAATCGCCCTCGATCTTTCTGCTTCGACACCCGGCGACATATTTTTGCGATAAACAATAATTATTCGTCCGCGGGTCATTTCTTCGAATATCTAGCGCTATTTGAGTACTCGCGGCGGAGGATACCGAACGGTACTCGGACTCGTATCCTGTTTGAAGATTAAAGGAACCGCGTTCGGTGCTAAATCAACGGAAATTAGCTAATGATAGCGCGTAACGCGCTGCAGGACAAGGCGGGGGCAAAACGACGACGACGTCGGTGTAAAAATAATGGCTGAGAAAAGAAAGGGTATGAAAATTGCGAGCTGTAAAACAAAGCGGATCGCTTCGGATCGAACGGTGCAATTCGAGTCGTGTCGCGCTGCGCAACGGTGTGTCGCCGGCGCGCATCCTCGCTGTCTCTGTAATTTAAAGAGAGATTAAATTACAAGTGAGCTTCCACGGGTGCCGTTCGCGCTCGGCGCTTTCGTTCTTGTTTTAATAAACGATTAAGAATACCTCAGGGGTGGAAAGCGAGGAGGCAGAAAGAGAGAAAGAGAGAATAGGCCGCTGGCGGAGCTTCTCGAATTTCCGCTTCCCGACGCCTTTTTGTTGGCTTCTCGTCGTCGTGGGCGCCCGCACGCCCACTTTGTCGGCACAGGAATCTTCCTTGCCGCGAGTTCTGCCCGCTTAAGGCGAATTTACGCGGCTCGTCACGACTGAGTGAACTCTATTCCATTTAATTACCGCGCCGTGTGCGATCTCCAATTAGTGTATAATATTCTCTGGATTCTTCGATGTTATCCTCACGGGGATGTAACATAGGAAAGTAATTTTATTATAGAAAAAAGAAAATATGTGTGTAATCATTGGTCTGGGTATTATTGATTACTCCATATTATATATATATATATATATATCGCTATGCTACATTTCTACCGGGATGAAAATTTAATATCCAGGCGCGAGGAAGTAAGACTGTAGAGTTTCACGACCGTTTGCCCCTCGACGATACCTACGGGCCGCACACGTTCGTGATAATCAAGATCCAAAGGCGTAAATTCGCCTTTACTTAGGTACGTGCAGTCGGCGCAACACATTGCCGCGTAAGCCGCAGTTAAGCGCCAAACGATATGCTCTCGCGAGGCTCGCGTAACGACGTGAATTTGCGACCTCATCCGGCCAGATTGAATCGTTCAGCCAGGAAGCATCAAATCACCGGGAACACATCGCCGTTATACGCCAAGGAGCCATCGAGCCATCTCGTCCCTCGCCTTAAATTATCGTTACGCTTGCGAGAGGTGGCTACCTCGCCACGCATGAGATTGTGACTTTTATTTATTCGCGAGTAATGGCGCATTGTTGGCCGCTGCAGCGACTCGGGCTTCCGTATAAGATGATCTCCTAAACGGCGGTTACACCCTTATCATTCGTATTTCCATAACCATCCGTTGCGCAAACGCCAATTCAAGCGCCGAGATCGACCGTGGCTTCTCCGAGCCGCAGATACGGCTGAGCGGGTGCATGCGCGCGAATCAGATTCCTAACGGAAAAATGTCTATTGGATGTTGGAATCAAGTTAGAATCGAGTTCCCATTGCTAGAGGAGGAAATGATATATTATGGCTCTTGTAGGTGTTATGGACATCGTTAATACCTCTGTTATTAGGGGATGAATTCCAACGATCATCTATTATTATTGTAGGATTATTGTACAAGTTATTGTACAAAATTTAAGTATATGGGGGCCATAATAACACCTCTATCAAAACGATTACGATAACGATTAACGATAAGTTAAAACTAACGATAAATGTAATTTTAATTTAAAATTTGAAGAAAAGATATTTATATTATTCTGATAAATTCTAAGTTTCATAACACCCATGATTATTGTTCAAATGTTAAGGGAGAATGACAAACTATCGAGAAGTTATTAGCGAATTCGATGTTTCTTTCGACCGTCTTCAATTCGATACTTTGTTTATAATAGTGCACGATCAGATAACGTGATTTATTATTTTCTAAAAATATACATATTACGCGGTTTCAGATTTCTTTTAACGATTTTTTCAGGCAGTTATAAATATCTGCAGCCACCGCGGAATCGCGCTTCCCGACAAGCCATGTTTGTTATTCGATGCATTTCCATAAGTGCCATCGTAACCAGATACTCCTTTGCGTGGATCAGGTGTCCTTTCGCGATAAAAAGGCATCTACAATGGTCTGCATTTGTAATAGCGTCTTCCTCGCACTGACCGCGATAGCTTATCCTGCGAGACCAAACAAAAACAGTCGGTGAAACTCGCGCGAGTTGTACTTCGCCCCGAAGAAGTTGAGCAATACAGATAAATCGACAATAATCTTAGAATATAATGACTCGATAAAAAAAATAGAAGAATATTCTGAAAGTTAATGGGCCTCGTGACGCAAATTCCATAATCCTTTATATTCGGAGAAGAATCTCGGAATTCATTTGAAAGCACCGACGACGCAGAAAAAACCGCCGGTTCATGCGACGAAGATATGTTTCCGCGGCAACGAATTTATGTTCCGGCGCGACCATAAATCGATTCTTTCTCTGCTTTGTGCGCCTAATACGCGAGACGGGAAATTTACGAGGTATCAAGCGCCGTTAGGGTTAATCTCGTCGTTAAAGGATTCGAGAAACACCGTTCGCCTTTCTTCAGATTGTAATGGAATAACAAAATAAATTTCTCAGGAGTGCCTGGGAGTGCCATGAGCTACGAATCGCATAGCTCATCTCGGAAGAAAATATTACGACTTAAAAGGATCTCATTGAGAGAAGATTGCAGTAAGCTTTAGAAGGATCCCCTCCTGATACACGCCGCTAAATCGTGTCGTTCAACTCCAATTATAGATTCTTCCACGGCAGATTAAATAAGACGAGGGAAAACGACCGCTAATTTCGCAACCTGCCATTAAACCTGCCCGCCTGTGTATTCTAAAACAATTAATTTCACGAAAATTATACCGTCTACATCGGCCGGTTAATCAGTGCGCAACTCTCGATACACCTCGAGATCGATGTCCGCGGGGATATCTCGCGAACGCGTCGACGTGTTTTCCCCCGACGACGACGTCGCCGCCACTCGTCCTTCTAGCGCGGAAATAAGACACAACGATGAGGACGTGAGGATGAAAAAAAAAGGAAAAAATAAATAAAAACGCGGTAATGTTAATTTAAGTTAAATCACGCTCGATCAATATTCTGGACGAGTGCGTTGTCCATGCCTCCTCGTCGCCGCTCCTCCGTTGATGCGAAGGTAACTAACGTCTGTTGGCACGTCCTCGCGTGTCTACCGAGCAAGAGGACTTCGGAGGGTGTTGGGTTGGCATGTTAGCGGTGTCGAGGGTAATGACAGGCGCGGTGAACATTATGCTAAGTGCGAGACCAGACTACCTTTTTTTCCTTTCTTTTCCTTTCGCCCTCCTCTCGGACCTTTTGCCGCGTCGTGTTCTCCTTTGCTTTCCCTCTCGCTTTTTGCTCACCTCTCCTACCTCGGCAGCAGCCGATATCCAGCGGGCACCACGGTGATTAAGGCCCGTTTCATCTACGTAAACGTCCGTCGCACCTCTCTCTTCTCTCTCTCTCTCTTCCCCTTTCTCTCACCCGGTTTCTCACTTTCCGGATCTCCCTTCTCGCGCCCCTTTCACCCATCCTGCTACTGATAGTTTTCAATAAAGAAGCACGCGACGCGCCGCGTAGAAACCATTTCCTCGAAGTTGTTTCGCCTCGTTCTCGGCTTGAATCGATGGTGAGGCGACGGCGATAGGCATCGCCATCGAGGCTCGCGGGAGCGGACGCCGCGGCCGTCGATTTTTGTGGATCGGTGTTAAACGGAGGCGTCAGAGCGC